TCCCCCCCCCCCCCCCCCCCAATCTGTTTTTCTCTTTGTATTACGTTACTCTCTTGAAACAACTCTAGTCTTCTCCACTTATACCACCCTATTGTGCTGCAAGTGCCGTAAAACTTACTATTATGGCGCTCCTATAACCTTATGCAGTTGCGAGCGCCGAAGGCTAAAACCTCTACTAAAACTAAATATAACGTAATTGGCGCTCATATAACCTTATGCAGTTGCGAGCGCCGTAAAACCTCCACTTAAACTTACTATTATTGGCGCTCATGTGACCTAATGCAGTTGCAAGCGCCATACATACTCTACTGAAACTTTTTTGACGAACTTATTTAAAAAATATTATTGATAAAACAAACTTATGTTGACCCTTGAACAGCCGCTGAAAGTGAAAGTGAAGCGTAAGCTGACGGCCAAGTCTGAGCGCGTGAAGTGTGTGGAGCTGCACCCAACGGAACCCTGGCTGCTGGCCAGTCTCTACACAGGCAAGGTGTACATCTGGAACACAGACTCAAAGGTAATGGTAGTAGTAGTAATAGCTGTGATAATGATAATGATATTATCATCATCATCGTCGTCATTGTCATCATCACAATCATCGTCATCATCATCATCCTCACAATCATTATCGTAATTATCACCATCATCACAATCATCACCATCATCACAATCATCATCATTATCGTTATCATCACCATCACTTTCATCATCATCATCAGTTGACAAGTAGAAAAAAATATACTTGAGACTTGGATAGGGTTGGTCACATTAATCAGACATTCGTATAGGCCTGGAAGATGATCATCATCATCATCACCATCATCGTCATCACCATCATCTACAACAACAACACCAACAACAATAACAACAATTACAGTAGCAACAACAGCAACAATATTAACAGCAACAGCAACAGCAGCAAGAAAGAACAAAGAAGATGTGTCATGTGACTATGACACACAATAACAACAATAACAACAACAACATCAACAACAAAACAACAACAACAACAACAACAACCATAACAACCAATGAGACCATATGGAAAAGGAAGAGAGAAGAGGGAACGTTTGGAGGAGAAAAGCTTTAGAAAATA